CTGGATTGTTGAAATAAAGAAGCTTTGCATGACGCCTGGCAGTGTGCGGCTGTGTTTTTGGATTACAGGAGACATTATTGGCGCTCCACCACAATGGCTTGAAGGCATGACTCAGTCGTCCTGCTGACCTATGAGGAGACGCCTTGGGTGGAGGGTGACAACGCTGCTGCAAGCCCTCTAAAGAGGGTTGTGCAGAAAGGGGTTGTTGGCAAGAGCTACAGGTAAGAGGTTGGGGATGGAAGGGAAGGGAAAGGATGCCCATAATTTAACCCAGAAGGCTAGTGGTTGGCTGCAAAGGACGACATGGAGGGCATCACTAGAGGTTGAGCTGCGGTTGAGTTGTCTTTTCGGATGGGTGAGAATAACATTTTTAAATCAGCTCAGATCACATGGTTATAAAATCTTCTAACACTGCGGATCATTTTATTCTGAACATATCTGAGATCTATGAAAGAATTTATCTATCCGAAGCTCCATCAAAAACCCAAATCCCGTCTTCAGGTAGACCGACCATGGAACGCCTGGACAGATAACCTTCCACCCTCAGGCAGGAAGAACCCCCCCCCCCCTCTGACCTTGTAGTCCAAGCACAGCTGGGAGGCTGCAATTTAGTGAGGGCAACTGGGGAGCACACAACTGCCTTTGTCTGCTTCAGTGGCAGTTAGTATCGGCCCCTCCTCACCGAGCGTGTCATATTTTCTCTGCGCTGTGAGACGTTCAAGGACAGGCCAATGAGGGGGGAAAGAATGAAACATAAACGTAGAAGTGAATGTGGGGATGGATTAACTATTATAAAAGCTGTTCGCCAATTCATTTTACCGTTCCTGGTTGTAACCCGCTTCATAGAGAGAATACAAAGTGAGGTACGATTTTCACGTCGGCCAAACCGCGGAGAGAGAGAGCGGAGAGATTAATAACGACGCGGGATGGCAAATGAGGACGACTTGGGAACTGTTCAGAACATATCCAGGTAATATTTCAGGCCGAGTGACATGAACAGGAACATATACAGTTATATGCATTTAATGTGTGCACACAGCCTACTGCTCACCTAAAGCTGGGATCAAATATATTTTTTTAAATGTAACCAGTATAAATAAATGGATTTAATTTGGCGTCAGCTTCCTGCAGTCCCTGTGCAGCAGAGCTCAGGCTATGAGGGGAGAAGCAGCAAAGACACATTAACTCTATAACGTGGCATTTCATTGGGGAAGGGGGCTGGCGATCGGAGGGAGGGGGCTGGCCGCAGTGTCCCAGGTTGCTAAGAGCTCTTGGCAATCTGTGACGCTCTGTCCGGGTTCCTGCCCAACTCACTGACCATCATTGGTGGGTAGGCAGCTGAGCCGAATGCTCTGGCTGGCGTCCCGCTGAGCTCTTGGCAACCAGTGTGACGTCAGTGAGCTGGGCGGGACTGGGCAGAGAGCCGCTGACAGCACGGTTCAAACAAAGCCGACAGTCCCAGCGCATTCGCCCCAAGCACCCAGGTGACCTCTATCAGCGAAGCCCGCCCCCGCTCCACCCCCCAGAGGCATGTTAGCGAACCCCTAACCCCCCCGCGCACTCCATGGTCTCAGGTGGCATATAGGGTAAGAACAGTCCTGGTCTCATCAGAGATATAAACAGTACTCAGTAGCTCAATCAGAACTCTTGGCAGAAAATGTATAGGTTAAAATGTATAAGATATAAGAAATGTGTAAGATTATATGACTTCACTAGAGCCTCCCCCATCCTATGGAACTCTCTACCCCAACCTGTCCATCTATCTCCCACTCTGACTGCCTTTAGGCGATCCCTTAAGACTCATCTCTTCGGGGAAGCCTATCCCACCTCAACCTAACCACTCAACCATCACATTCCCAAACAATTCATCCCCACACAGCTACCTCCTCATATATCACTTCCCCCTCCCTTTAAGGCCCCATTCACACTGAGCGATTCGCAATGCGCGATATCACGCGTTTGTCGCGCGATATCGCGCAAATGCTTGCATTGAGCAAGCTAGAATCGCGGCAAAATCCGCTCCAAAAAGGGTCCTGCTGTAGCAACACACGACCCGCGACAGCGACAGACAGAGCCCCATTGCCATGCATTGGAGAGCGATATCGCGCGGTAAATAGCCGCAATATCGTGGGAATTACCACACTATAAATCGCTTAGTGTGAATGGGGCCTTAGATTGTAAGCCCTCAGGGGCAGGGCCCTCCTTACCATCTTGTCTAGAATTGTATTGTGATTGTAATGTTTTCCTTATATTGTAAAGCGCTGCGCAAACTGTTGGCGCTCTATAAATCCTGTATAATAATAATATAAGAAAGCAGCCTTCTCTGCAATACTCACCGGAGTTGTCTCCCGCAGTACTGTTTTTCTACCTCTTCCAGGGTTAATGACAGCCAGCACTGTTCATCTACTTTCTCTAAATCCAGGCTGTCATGGACCATCCCCCCCATCCCGTGACTGGATAGTGATAAGCTCATCTCTGCTCTCTCCTCCTGCGTCTTATGCTCACACTTCAGCACTGCTGTACAGGGAGTGCAAGATTCTGATACCGGGTCAAATAGAGGGGTACACTGCTTGGATATAAATACGTATATATTTAATGATGTAGTAACCATTACAGAGCCGACTTTTATACCAGCCTGGAGTTCAGCTTTAACTCGTTATCACGTCTCTCCAATTACCAGTCAATCGGTTACCAAGTAACAAGGGAAAAATTAAGCAAATTCTCTCCCGTGGCATCTTTAAACTGCCCACGAAGCCGTAAAGGTTCCACCCTTCCGCTGTTCCCTGCTGCAATGTCGCCCCGATGTAACGCCATTAAAACCCTATTATTACTGGGAGGAAGGCAGAGGACACTGTGATGTGTGCACTTAGTTTTTCCCATTTCATTAACCCGGCCCGGTATTAACCAGCAGGCAGCCATTTTAATTGGCCATGTGTGGCACACTGATGGGGCTACTGATTAATGGAGCTGTGCCAGTCTGCAGGAGATGTGACACATTAACTGTGATGTCCAGATGAGGTGACTGTAAGGATTTTATTCCCAGGTTCAGGGGCAACTTTGCCAGAGGGTGGCCGCACAGGGTGCCCAAGTCTGTGCCCACTACAAGATGGTGATTTAAAAGGGAGAAGCTTTTAGGTTCAGAGTACAGACAGGTTACATGGCTGCTGCAAAAAGGAAACCAGGAACCCCCCAAAAAGCTGAACTCAGGGGTCCATATAAAGCTCTTCATAGCTGAACTCCGGGCCCATATAGAGTTCTTCATAACTGAACTCCGGGCCCATATAGAGTTCTTCATAACTGAACTATGGGCCCATATAGAGTTCTTCATAACTGAACTCCGGGCCCATATAGAGTTCTTCATAACTGAACTCCAGGCCCATATAGAGTTCTTCATAACTGAACTCCAGGCCCATATAGAGTTCTTCATAACTGAACTATGGGCCCATATAGAGTTCTTCATAACTGAACTCTGGGGCCCATATAGAGTTCTTCATAACTGAACTCCAGGCCCATATAGAGTTCTTTAAAGCTAAACTCAAGGCAAGCCTCTAAACACACTCGTGAAATAACATATAAAAGCGGTACAAGTGTTGTCAACTTAGGACAGGAAGTGACTGGGTATACATTAGTGATATGATTTGATTAAAGGCAGGACATGTATAAAAGACAATGGATCACATTGTTTGACATTGCAGGAATGCGGAGCAACATATTCAAAGTGCCCATTTGGATTTTTGTGTTGTGTGCATATGCAATATGGAGTGTCGCGTAATGGCGGCCCACTGAAAATAACAGGCTGCTAATGCACCAAAGCATCCCAAAAATCTGATGGGTCACAACATTTGTAATTCAACGCACTGTGGTTTGTTCTAATGTGCTGCAATGTATGCGCGCTGCCTTAGTATGTTAAAATGAATGCATACGCAATGCAGCAACACAGTGACGCAATGCAAGGGGCACTAAAGCAAACCTCCAGGTTCCATCACCTCTGATACCCTGTAGAGAACCCCAGGAGGTTTCAGAAACCTCTGATACCATGTAGAGCACCCCAGTAGGTTTCTGAAACCTCAGATACTGGTAGAGCACTTCAGGAGGTCCTTGAAAGCTCCGATACCCTGGAGACCATCCCAGGAGGTCTCTGAAACCCTGTAGAGCACCCTAGGAAGTACCTGGAACCTCTGATACCCTATAGAGCACCCAAGGAGGTCTCTGAAATACGGGGCATTCTATAATGCAACTAGAGAGCAACTGAACTGCTGGCTCTCTCCTGCACCCCTCCCATTTCAAGCACCTCATTATTGAGAAGATGAAGTCCTCTGTCACAGTGATTAGTCAACAGTAGGGCAGACACAGGCCCCAATCACAGAAGCCATTATATATTATAGACTGCTCCGGGTTTCTGTGGTCCCAGGGCATCTT